GAGGAAGTGAGGAGGGTAAGGGAAGATGGAAATAAGGGAGAGAGGTAAGCGGGCGGGTGAGGTTTTTACACAACTGCCCATTGTCCAGTACGTGTGCAGCATAGGGGACAGCCAAGCGGTTAAATGGCTTTGTTTGGGAGTCGGATAAGATCGCGTCGTACCAGGTCAAGGGTATTACTCGCCGCTGTTTCTGGGACAAGGAACAACAAAAGAACATTGCGTCAGTCGTAGGTCCGTCGGCACAGCTCCATAAGGGAGTTTTTGCCTGTCTTGTCATCTCTCTCCCCGCCCCCCCGCCTACAGCGCAATTTAGACGGGGATTAAGGGGATTTAATTGCATTTTCGAAGTTAAATATTGTGTCTGATATTATGTATTGACACTCACTACAAACAAACATCACATTACACACACATCTATTTACTATTCTATCAATCTATCTATACAGACGCACACACCTATCTGTCTAACCACACACACACACACACACTTTTATCTATCTAAACCACACACGCCACACACACACCACACCACACACACACAACACCCACACACATAAATATATATACTATATTACATAATATATTATATATATATATATATTAATATATAATAAATATATAAATATTTGATTACCGGGATCTTCAATTATCCTCAGGAGATACAATCTAACTTCTCAAATCTGGATTGTTACATTCTTACGGCTCTGGTTGGGGCTTTCCTTCAGTAAGCAGAGGAAGGAGACAAGAGAGAGAGAGAGGAGCAGAGAGGAGAGAGAGAGAGAGATCGAGAGAGAGAGATGAGAATGAGAGAGAGAGAAGAGAGAGAGAGAGAGAGAAACGGGAGAGGAGAGAAAGAGAGAAGAGGAGAGCAAGAGAAGAGGGAGAAGCGAAAGCGAGGAGAGGCAGGAATCAGAGAGAGAGCAGAGAGAGAGAGATGGCAAGATTAGATAGATTGATAAGTTGAGTGTAGTTTAGAGAGAGTAGGATAAAATGTTTTTTTAAAGAAAGAAAAAAAAAAAAGAATATAGATTTATAACATTTTTTAGGGAAAAAAAAAATTAAGGTGTCTAAAAAGTGGGATAGAGTGAGAGCAGAAGATTAGATAGATATGAGATAGAGAGTAGCGCCAGCATAAGTCAAGATAGACGATTAGAGAGAGCGCAGATAGATATAGATGGATTCAGGCAGATATAGTGCGAGCGGATCAGATAGATAGAGAGAAGAGAGAGAGTTTGTCCCCAATGCTTGAAAACATAAACAACATCTTTGTTTTGATATAATCTATTAATGGGCAGCGAGATTTCACACAGGCGCTGTAGCAAGTGAATTCCAAGAAGATCTCAAGATTCATCTTAGGGGGAAGTTTCTGAAGATTCGGAAGGAGAGATTGAAAAAGGCTAATGATGTTTTTTTGGAGAAGAAAAGGTCTGAGAGTAGAGAGAGAGAATCGGATCTTATAATCGTAGAGTTCCTTTCATCTTGGTCTTCTCTGTCGCTGTGATGTTGTGGTTCAATGTATATAATTATAACTTTTTGTCATTAGTATGATATCATCATCATTATATTACTGGTATTTTAAATCCTCATCATTTCTTTTTCTTCATCATCAGCATTTATCTGGTTTATCCATTAATGATATCCTGATAATATCCAACTTAATCATCAGTCATCACTTGATCATTATCATTATCATCAATCATCATGCCCATCCTCAACCATTCTGACTCTCTCTTCTCTCATCATCAATAATCATCATCATCATCATCATTACATACTTCAATGCATCATCATCATCAACCACAGACCATCATCATCCCCAATCATCATCATCATCTCCATCAGTCGATCAGTCATCATCATCAACATCATCCCACCACCAAGCATCATCACTATTGTCGATACTATTATTGCATTGCCATTCCAATTTTCCATTCAACTGAAATTCTCAACAACAAGTACCATCTACCAACCTTTCGTCCTTTAATCTCACTGAAATTCATCACAAAGTTTACAAATCCTAAACAAAACAAAAACAAGCTTCAGAACCCTCCCCACCCCCAGCACCCCTGACCTGCCCCAAGACATTATTCATAAGGCTTTTTTTTCCTCCACTCTCCTTCTACGTGCAGCTCCGCTTTTATGTAGCTTCTAGCCGTCTCTCTCTCTCTTTCTTTTTTCTTTNGGGGAGTTGGCTTAAATGTTACTTGTTATCCCGGAGGACGAAATCGGTAAAAATAAGAATTTCTGTATTTCCGAAAAAAATCCTGACAAACAAATGACTTGGCATAGGAAAAAAACATACGAAGGCGAGTGTTAGCTTTTCGAAGAAGAAGAAAAACGAAATGAAGACGAAGAAAAAAATAAAAATAAAAGAAGAAAAGTGGAAATTAAAAAAGAAACAAAATAAAGTGGCATCGAGTTACTGTACTATCAAGTTAAGCTAAAGTTTGCACAGACAACCCCAAGCCAGAAAGCAGACAGCAGCCCCTAGATAATAAATAACTCAATGGCAGTTTCTTCTTTGTCGTAAGATTTCGTTGAGAGGAGACGCCTGTCCTCGCAGTCCCATGAGCTACCCGTTTCCCTGACGAAGAGTGATCTCAGAAGGGTAAAGGTGGTGTCATAATGTTATTCCCAACATAATAGATATTCAGGAGTTTCTCGGGAAATGAATGTATTCGTGTTGTTATATTAACAATAATGGCAATTATGATTGTTATTCTCGTTGATAAGGGTAATGATAATACCTCGTTAATAATGATAATAACAATAGTAATGACAATGACAGTTATAACGATAATGATGATAATAATGATAATACAACGACTACTACAAATAATGATGATAGTGGTAACAACAGCAACAATAACAACAATAATAATAATAATGATAATGATAATAATAGTAATAATGGTAATGATAATAATGAAATTGATAATAATGTAATATCAAAAACAATAAAAAATAATATACATAATTACAATTATACCAACGGTAAAGACGATAATAAAAATACTAATAGTAATACTAACACTATTACCAACAAAAACAACAACAACAATAACAATTGTCATAATGGTAATAATAATGATAATGATAATGTTAAGAATAACAATAACAACAACAAAAATAATGATGATAATAATAATAATAAAAATAATAACAATAATTATAATAATAATAATAATCTCAATAACGATAATAGCAATAATAATTATAATAACAATAATAATACCACTCTACTACTGCTAAGAATAACAATGATAATGATAATGATGTTGATGGTAATAATAATAATAATGATAATAATGATAACAACAACAATAATAATAATGATAGTAATGATGATAATGATAATGATAGTAATAATGATAATAGTAATGATAATGAGAATAACAATAGAAATAATGATAATAAAAGCAACAATAATAATGATGATATCACTAATAATGATAACAATAACAATAATATTAATTATTATAGTAATGATAATAACAACAATTATTATGATAGTTATAATTTGTTAAATTCACAAAATAAATAATAACAGTGACAATAATAATGACAAAAATGATAATATTAATGATAATAACAATGATGATGATAATGATGATGATGATGATGATGATGATGATGATGATGATGATGATGATGATGATGATGATGATGATGATGATAATAATAATAATAATAATAATTATCATTATTATTATTATTATTATTATCACATTATTGTTATCATTATCATTATCATGATAATAATAATGATAATGAGAATCACAGTAATAATAATGATAATGATAATGATAATGGCAATAGGAATAATGATAATTATGATAATAATAATAATTGTAATAATAACAATAATAGTAACAAAAATAAGAATAACATTAAATAAAATGATAATAACAACAATAATAATAATGATAATAATAATCATAATAATAATGCTAATGATAATCATCACAATTAGTATCATTATCACTGTTAACATTATCATTATCATTATGATTGTTAGT